AGACCTGAGTTCAAATATGGCCTCAGGCACTTACTAGCTGTGTGACCTTGGGCAAGTAATTTAACCCGGTTTGCCTCAGTTGCCTCATCAATAAAATGAGCTGGAGAAGAAAATGGCAACCCGCACCAGTATCTTTGCCAAGAAAACCCGAAGTGGGTCAACAAGAGTCAGACTTGACTGAAAGGACTGAACAACAACAAAGCTCAATTAATACTACTATATAGGGAAAAAAATAGGGACTGGAACTGTGATTTCTTTGGTATAGGGTAGTATAGGCATATGAGGAAATAACGAAGGTCAGAACCTTCTTTGAAACTTATAGTCTTAGATAATTGCCTGGAGTACTGAGAAGTCCTCGTGGTTCAAAGTTGGCTCTCTGTCTACTCTGCCACACCTTTTGTCTGAATCTTCCTACATGTTAATGAAATATTTAATAAGGAAAATAATCAATTTTACTTTATGATATAAGTCTACCTGGCCTCATATCTTAAATTATAAAATATCAATATAACTTTAACTTTAAAAAAGCAAGGTGTTATACACACACACACACACACACACACACACACACACACGCTCAAATTAAATTAATTAAAGCTCTCCCCAAATGGAATTTATTGCTTTGGAAGAAAACAGTGTATTTCCTATCACTGGTGGTCTTTACGTGAAGCCTGGTTGGGCACTTATGGACTCCATTGAGGGGATTCTTGTGTAGATTTGGGGTGACTAGATAATTTTCTTGATCTTTTCCTTCTTTCAACTTCTGTAATTCTAAAGGGTAGAAGATAGGGCAGCAGTTGGCTGAGACCCAACATGAATGCCCAAACATAATGAAAACAAAGCAGGTTTATCTTCTGGGCTGGTTTTATACATGAACATAGTACCAATAAAATGAAGTGAGAATAATAATTACATTGAAGCAATGTAGAGCCCCAGTCATTAAATAAATATTCAGGTTTGTTCACTATACTGTATTTACTAAGCAGGAAAGCAGACTGATTCAGATTCAAATACTTTTTAGGAAGGATTTTTAAAAATTACGTTTAACTTTCAGTGAATCCACAAATCCAGTGGGCATAGTTTTACTGTATCATGAAAAGTACACTGTAGTTTTGCATGTTCTCTTGTGATTATAAACCATATTTTACTAGATGTTAATAGTCTAATCCCTGCACATCTGAGTACTATAGTTATAAAAAAATATGGCTCTTCCTTGGAACTATATTCCATTACAGTTTGTAAGCTAGTCTTCTAATTCACTTTATTCTTGGTCTTATTTGAATATTTTTAGTAAAAACTATTTAACAGCATAAATAGATGTTTAACTTTTTTATTCATAATTGGTAATAGGGCAGAATAATTTTGTGGCATGGGGCCAATCAGTCTGTTGGTTTTTCTCTGCCAAAATGACCTTGTTTTGTTTGGGTGTTGTTATGGAATGATCTTTTAATTCATTATATTCCTAATGCTTTTAAGCTACTAGTCATGGTATCATAACTATGAAGGAGGGGTAAGATCTCCATTACAGAATTTTTGGTCTTCCTTCTTCATGTTCCTTGTCTTTATTGTTCATCTCAGTGACAAGAAAACATGATAAGTTATACACTTTTTTTTTGTAACTGCTAGAGTTAGAAGTGAATATGGTTCAAACAAAAAGAACTTGTTCTCATTTTTCTTAAACTCTGTTGCTGTACCATATTAGGTCTGTTTCCCAAGGTGATCATAGAGAAAGGAAAAGAACCTATATGTTTTAAAATATTTATAGTAGTTTTCTTTGAGGTGGAATTTGAGGGGGGTAGCCATCAATTGGAGAATAGTTGAATAAGTTATGGTATATGATCGTAATGGAATACTACTGCTCCATAAGAAATGATGAGCAGGTTGATTTTAGGAAAACATGGAAAGACTTGCATGAAATAAGGCATAGTGAAACCAGCAGAACCAAGAGAACATTGTATACAGTAACAGCAATATTGTTCAAGAGGAAATGTTAATAACTAAGCTATTCTGAGTTATATGAATATTCAAATTAACTACAAAGGATCTATAAAGGAAAATGCTATTTATCTTCAGAGAAAGAACTGATATATGGAACTACGTATTATATGGTTTCACATATATATCTATATATCCATATCTGTGTCAAATGTTGGCCTTCTCTAGTGAGAATGAGGTGACAGAGAATATTCAAAGCATGGGGGGGGACAGCTAGTGCAAAGGCATGGAATGGTTCAGAAGGAAGGAAACAGCTTGGAACTCAAATGTAACCAAAAAAAAAATTAAGAGAAGGAAAAACAAACTTTTGCTTTTGATACTAACAACTCCTTTTTTTAAATAAATATTCTGCCCTTCCTCAGCTTTCATGGCACTAGTTTTTCCTGCTTTTCTTCCTGTCTGTCTGATGTCTTCTCATTTCCCTTTGCTGGACCATCGTCCATCTTCTACTCATTAATTATGGGTATTCTCTGTCCTAGGTGGTCTTCTTTTTCTTCTACACTCTTTTTTGGTGATTTCATTGGTCCCCATTGTTTCATTTATGACCTTTCTGCAGAGGATCCTGTTCTCATCTCTTTCCTGAGCTCTAGTCTTTCATTGTCAGCTGCCTGATAGATATCTCAAGGATTTGAACAGTTCAGCCAAAGTGGCCTACTTCATGTTCCCTGAATTCCACATTTCATCTCTTGCTTCTCTGACCCTTCACAGGCTGTACAGGCCCTTCTCACTTCTACCTCTGAGAATCTTTAGCCTTCTTTAAGGCTTAGCTCATGTGGTAGCTCCTTCAAAGCCTTCATTAATCCCTGTAATTATTAGTTCTCTATACTTTTCAATTAACTTCATGTTTACTTAGGACCTTAAAGCCCATCTTCTTCATTCTGTAGATAAAAAACCTGAAGCCTAGAGAGATTAAATGATTTGTCAAGGTCATGCATCTAGTCTTGGTCACATGATTTAAATCCAAGTCCTCTGACTTCAAAGCCTTTGATATTTCAACTGATTTTTTTTCAGTATTGATTTCTCTAGTAGATTGCTAACACTGAGAGCTAACACGTCTTTTTATTCACTTTGAGTAGAATACCTTGCATATAGTAAATACTTGTTAGGTAAAAGATGGCAAATTGAGAGATGTAAGCAGCAGTGTGCTGGATCCAGCTCATACTGAGTCTCAAGAGCTGATAATTAAATTTTCAGGATTATTTACACCTTAAAAATCAGCAAATACTACAAATCAGGGCTTGATTTGTTGTTTTGTTGGTTGGTTAGACTTAAGAAAATGATGAAGAAATATTAATAATTCAGATTAAACTTTAAAAGTTTTTGATGTATACATTTTTCCTCTGAAGAGCTGTTGTTATACATTTACCCAGACACTCCTGGAGAGAAGCAACATTGAGGTCATCTATTCCCAATCTCATTTTAAATATGAGGAAACTGAGGCCCAGAGGTTAAGAGACTTGGCGAAAATCACACAAGTAGTAAGTGTCAGAGGTAGGATTTCAACTCAGGTCTTTTGACTTCAAATCCAGCACTCTTTTCAAAGCACATACTTAATGAAATACCAATTGAATTGAATTGAATTGAAGTGCACCTCGTGCTTAGACAATATTAACTGTAACTACTATGAATCACTGAATATCCTGCTCTGACAAAGCAGAAATGGTAGAAAGACCTGCTGTTGCTTTAGGCAGATGTTAGTAGAATGACAGTGATTTTTGAAAAGCAACCACCCTTCTGGATAAGTTGCTACAGCACCGGAATTCTGAAACTAATGGTACGTGTTGTTTCATGTTGTCTATGTGAATAGAAAAGACCAGTATCTAATACTCACCAATAGGAGTATGTGTCAAGATTTATATAAGACTGAGATGTGAAGCTGTTTCTGTCCACACATTACATCCTTCCTTGTACCACCTATCTGGCTGAAGAAAAATAGCAATAACCACAATAAGGTGAGACTGAATCAGTGATTGGACATCAAATTGCCCTATAGCCATTTAAACTGGGAAATACAGATGCAAGGGAAGTGTTATTTTCATTCATTCATTTGTTCATTATTCATTCACTCATTCATTTTCTAATGCTGTACTATGGCTTCATTGCTCAGGTTGAGAAATAGGGAGGGAGGTAGTTGGGATGCCCTATCTTCTCAGTACATCTTAGCCAATTTCTAGTCTAGGGTCTAACTTTGCCATTATTTAACATTTACCTTGACCTCTACAAAAGATTCTGGTAGTAGAAGCCAGAGCAGAAGGCTCACATTGAGCCTTTATTTTCTATTTTCTGGCCATTTTCCTTTATGGTAATAAGTTACATTTTGGCTAAAAGTACAGTTCATGGAATTATAGAGTTGGAAGAGACTTAAAGATCATTTCGTCTTAGCCTCTCATTTTACAGATAAGGAAACTAAGATGAAGAAAGGTGAAATTATTTTCTCAAGGTCCCATGATTTATTACTAATACTCCATCCGTGTTCTTTCTATCATACTACATTCCTTCTTTTTGTAAAAACAACATACATGCATAAATCCATGGAGAATCCGTCATCTCCTCCTCTGTAACTGTAGCAGTTTATTATATTTTAAAAGTTTCCAAAGCCATCATGACCATTAGAAGGACAAGGTGGCCTTTTATGTAGAAAATTCCACTTTAAATGATGAAGCCTCAATTCTAATAATGTCCATGACAGTCATTCATTGTGATTCTCTCAAAAAGCATTTGAACTTCATTATTTCTTAATTCTCTCTGGAAAAGGGTATCGGGAAGGCCAGTAAGCTTCTGTGTAAAAAAGGTGCACTATATACATACTCTTCTACTAGTGCCTGATATACTTTGACCATATGTCTAAAATGAGTGCTTTCTCACTCTGGGTGACTGGCTCTTTATAAAATTGTTCTACTATCTTATCTCCAACTTAATAAAAAATAATTTGATGTTTCCAGTACAAATAAATTGATGCCATCCATATTTCTTATAGTTTCCCCCCCCCTCTTTACTTGGTATAGTTGACACTCCAGATCCCTATGTGGAACTTTTCATCTCTTCAACCCCTGATAGCAGAAAGCGGACAAGACACTTCAACAATGATGTGAACCCTGTGTGGAATGAAACTTTTGAATTTATCTTGGATCCTAATCAGGAAAACATTTTGGAGGTAAACAGAAAATGAGATGCATAATTTGAGAGGCATTTTGGATAGTCAGGAGTCATAAACAATGTCACTAGAGCTAGACAGCATAACAGGTTAGGGAGAACCTAACCTATGTCTAAGGGAGAATTCATGAATTGGGGAATGGGAGACTCTACTCTATTTTATGTGTAGTCAGAGGGAAACATCCGGGGTCAGAAAGAGGGCATTGAATTGAACAGGAAAAAAAAATCACTATGCATTTCCAACAGTTGAATACTTCCAGTAAAGGTGAATTTTGCAATCAGAAGTCTATGAAGATGAAAATAATTATTTTTATGACTACAGAATTTTAGTAGCTAATGACTTCAGATAATTTTTGCTTCTTATATTTTGAGTGTAGCTCAATGTCATTAATGTTTTATTTATAAGAACAAGGTTGAGGTGTATTAGAAAATTGCTCAGAGAGTCATAGCAAATTGTATATAAGTGACATATGCTTTATCTTGTCCTTACTTTAGATCACATTAATGGATGCCAATTACGTCATGGATGAGACACTAGGCACAGCAACATTTCCCATTTCTTCTATGAAAGTGGGGGAGAAGAAAGAAGTTCCATTTATTTTCAATGAAGTAAGTATCCAAACTCCCCACTGAAGTCCTTCACTGAAACCTTACTGTGAATAGAGGTTCTCCTAGGTTCATAAGCTATGCCAATTAAATGAGCATAGGCTGTGGTAGGTACTGCTAAGTTTGAAAAGCTTTGACTCCTGGTTCAGCAATAGGCCAGGTGTCATAAGAGCCTATTCATCGAGAAGAAGCTTTTTCATCAACAGCTTGGTCTTCAGGTGATGAATTTTTCTGGCCATAGAAACTTAGAAAATTGTGTCCTGAGGTATGGAAGGGTTGTCTTTGCAGTGGAAGGAGGATCCACACTTATGAAATTCTTTATGTTTTGAAGTGTTGGAGTACCCAAATGAAATATTTTTTGCCCTTCTAATATTTAGAACTCATTACAAATATTTGAGTTCAACAAACATTTATTAAGCATCTACTATATGCCATTTTATGCTAAGTGTTAAGGATACAAATGGAGAAAAATGAAACGAGACCCCATGTAAATTAGTTCTCTCTTCCTATGTAGTCCATCACAATTAACTGATAGTTAATTGTATTCTCTTGTCTCTGAAAGATACAATAACTGTATCCATATGTGGAAGGGATGTTGTAACTGTAACTGTTACATTTGTATGTATACATCTTGTTTCTCTTGAGGACATGGACTGCTTTGCTCTTATTTTTGTATCTCTAGAACTTACCTTAGTACCTGATAAACCACAGCAGGTACAAAATACATGCTTCTTGATTGATTGTTATAAAGTTAAATATTTAAGTAGTTATATTTGAATTCCCATGACAATTGTTCTATTTTGTCTTAAATAATCCTTACACATTTCTATTTGGTTGTTCTTGAAAGGAGTAGGTGATTTCTCTATGTGCCATATTTCCCCACTAGATCATGAGCTCCATGAGCATGAGGACTTTGCTTCATTTAATCTCTGTATTATCCTTGATGCACAACATAGTACTGTACACATAGTATATGTTTAAAAGGCCCTTGTTGCCGTTGAAGTCAGGGAAGATCTTTAAGTGGTTATTGGATCTATAGGTCCAAAATGTCTGTGGTTGCCTTATTACAGGTATAAAAAGATCCAAGAAAAACTGGATCGGGGCAGCTAGGTGATGTAGTGGATAAAGCTATGGCCTTGGAGTCAGGAGGACATGAGTTCAAATCCGGCCTCAGACACTTGACACTTACTAGCTGTGTGACCCTGGGCAAGTCACTTAACCCTGATTGCCTCACCAAAAAGCAGAACAACAACAACACAAACAAAAAAAACCAAACTGTCCAATCTCACATGTAATCATGATTTTTTTAAAATAAGAAATTCAATTTAACTACTTTGTTTCACTCTTACCTCAACTTTCTTTGTACTCTCTCTCCTTTCTCCTTACCTGCCATATCATCACTCTAGGAAACGTCCACCCTGGGGCCCTCCATTCCTCAATGGTAATTTCCTCTTTGGGAACATTTGGGAGGGTCCTCAGTCATCTTTCATCTCATTATTGTCTCATCTCTTTCCAGATTACACCTCTTTTTCCCTCACCTGCTACATTGCCCTGCAAGAATATTTCCTTATTCCTCCACATTTCTAGCACCCTTCTGTAAGCTGTCTTCTTCCAATAGCATATAAGCTTTCTTGTATTTTTATCCCCAGTGCTTAGCACATTCTCTGTCATATAATAAATTCTTTTGTGTGTGCGTGTGTGGTTTTTTTTTTATTTTTAGGCAATTGGGGTTAAGTGACTTGCCCAAGGTCACTCAGCTAGTAAGTGTCAAGTGTTTGGTCAGAGGCCGGATTTGAACTCAGGTCTTCCTGACTTCAGGGCTGGTGCTCTATCCACTGCGCCACCTAGCTGCCCCCCCATATAATAAATTCTTTAAAAAAGCTCTATCTCTATCTAAACCTGTCTATCTATCTATCTGTCTGTCTGTCTGTCTGTCTACCTATCTAAGATAGAATTTTCAAAGCCAGCACATTCTTTGAATCTTTGTTCCAGATGACCCCTTTTCCTGAGATACCTTTTTATTCATAACATTGTTTATATATAATGAATATTAATAAATATTTACTGAATTGGGAGCAAAAGTGGTATTATATAGAAGCCAACCAAATGTTCCATCAACTGTCCCAGAAACTTTCTTCTTGGGTCAATGTTGAAGACATATTCAGATTTCTCCACAAACCTCCCTCCCTTCAAGCAGAACTGAGGATCTGTTTATTTAGACAAAGATGGAAATGGTGATCAAACATTATGGATTTAGTTTTTAAAAGTTCTGTTCTCACGTTCTGATCAACAGTGACATATATGTAGACAATCAAGACCTGGATCATATCCAAAGTTTGTGGCTACTTGCTTCAGGAAAAGATGCTGCAGCAGACAATTAATATACTTTACACTTTCTTAATATGCTTTGTGTTTTCCAGTTGTCTGCAGTCATAGAAGGGACCTCTGAATCTCAACAACTGTAACCTATTTAAAACAGGCAATGAAGTATACTTTTATACTGTCTTTACATAGTCTATGGACCAGATCCCCAGACCTCCTCTCCCATCACTTTTCCAGGGAAAGCCCTTCTTGAATAATGAGCAGATAGTTTCTCAGGAATAATAGGACTTTGTAAAAACATATGGTGGCAGGCATAAAATAAATGGAACATTTTTTCTTTCTTTTCATTTACCTTTTTTTTTAAAAGGTATTTTTTTTGGTCAAACTACATTTGTTGCAAAGATTCTTTTGGTCTCAAACCTTAATAATAATGATAATGATAATAGTAGTTGGTGAATTAAAAAAAGAAATACAGTACTGGCATTGGAAAATACAATAAAATGTTGATGAATGATCAGACCATTTTTAGTGAAAGGAAAATCTTTCTTGTAAATTCAGTTCTTTTTTCCCCTGGGTATTTACAGATATAGATATAATAAAAGGTTATCATCTTGACAACATGGATTGGTTTCTCCTGAAATTTGATATTAAAATGTGTTCTGAATTCTATGACATACAGATACTGATTGTAAAGGAAGATACATTTTTAAAAAATTTATTTCCTTTCCTCCTACTATTTCTTGTTCTTGGGAGTGTAACCCCTGGGGCTGAAAAGAAATATTTTCAACATTCCTGAATTTAAAACAGGTTACATAATTATTTTCTTTTATCTGTTTGAAAAAGTAGTTTTCCCAAAGGGCTTTAATTCATAACTTTGCTCTTGGGATGTCTTTATGGACTTTAATAACAACTTTTGTATTGCTGAATTGGGATAATGGGGGAAATAGTGAATAATGTGAGAGCATCAAGGAGAAAGAGCCCTTGGTCTTTTCTTAACTCACGTAATGTGTGACCATGGGCAAATCACCAAATTTCTCTATGCCTTAGGTTCTCTATATGTTAAAATAAAGATACTAACATCTGTCTTCCCCAGTTATTGTAGTGAAGTTCAAATGAAGTAATGTAGGTGGATTTTAAGGAGAGTGGGAATAAATGGCAAGATAATGCTAGGTGGAATCATTAAGGCAGTGTGGTTCAAGAGGAAGAGCCTAAGAGATGAGAGATGGAATGAAGAGATCTGTACTGTAGTTCTGGCTCTTCCAGTTGCTAGCTATTTGACCTGGGGAAAATCACTTCTTTTTGACCCTCAGGGTTCTCATCTATAGAGTGAATGGGTTGGATTAGGTAATCTCTAAGGTCGCCTCCAATAGTCTAGTCAATTGTCTAGTCAATGCCATCAAACTATTCATAAAACATTACAAAAGTGAAAAACACAAAAAGTCATATGATGCTTAGTTGATGGCTTCAGTGGATGGATTAATGAACTCATTGGGTTGGTACTCCTTCCACCAATACAGATTACAGCCCATTGATTCAATTACATATTAGATTATAGATTGCACCTCATTGGGTACAATTTTTGCCCATTTTTTCCTTCATAAATCATTTACAAAGGGTGTATGCCACATTCTAGTGACCTTCTGGTTCATTTATTATTTTCTAGATCACAGAAAAGCATTCCAGCTGTCCATGAATACATTACTCATCATTCTTTCTACACGACCAGTTCACCTGCTTTTCCAGTATTTTTTTTTACCTATGAGCCCACTCCTGTCTATCATGCAACTTTCTGTTGCCATCTAAACTAAACTGAAATTCTGATTTGCCAAACTACGGTGTTGTTTTTTCCTGAACTAATGAATCAGTTGATTCAAAATGATCATACCAATGTGACACAAAATGAGGGGTGCATAACCGAAAATAAATATAAAAGATTGGCACAAATTATATACATAGCATTGGGATATTGAAGCCAAGGGAGGGGCATAACAACAACAACAAAAGGTGGTTGTGTTATAGATATGTAGTACTTTAAAGATAGCTAAGTAACTTTGCTATTATTAGTATAACAAAAAAGGGGGGAAGTGGTTTTTTTTTCTTTCTTTCTATGTCACATGAGAAAGGGAGATATTGTGACAGTGGATAGGAAGCTGGTTCGTAGTCTGAGAGATCTGGCTTCAAATCCTGCCTCTGATGCACATTGGCTTTGTGAGTCTAGGCAAATCTCTTAACCTGTCAGTGTACCAGGCAGCACTGTAAGACCTTAAGTTACAGAGTGAGTTGTGATCTGTTTGGTTATAGGAATTTAAGAATTTTCCTCATCAGAAGTTCTTAATATCAATGAGATCACAGATCTGGACTAAAACAGACAAACAAAAACACTCATGTACGTGTGAGCAGGCTCCTAGACAAGGCTTTCCCTTTCTTTACCTCATCCTCTGTTTGTTTTTTCATTCTTCTTGCAAGCTTAATCCTTTTACTCACCCTAACATTCCGGTGTAACTTGTTCTTGAGGAAGTAATACTAGCCTTTTCTATACCTTTCTAAGAATTCAAAAATAATTGATGCAATAATGTGTTCTAGAATTTTACTAGAAATTAAAGTCAGATTGACTGAGTCTACCAATTTTATCCTCATTTATCTGTCTCTGTCTCTCTCTCCCTCTCTCTTCCCCTCTCTAT